GAGTGTCAGCGTGGTTAACCTTAGGAGGTGCATCCCATTTGCCCAGTTTGTTTACACTTGAAGCCTTGACTAGTCTGGGTAAAACTAAAATGGTTTATCTCCGTACTCGGCAGTGCATGCAGATTAATGACCTGAACTTGTCGAAGATTGCTGACCCAACAATGGACATCACACAGCCATTAAAATGTCTTACTGGTTGTGGATGGATGGCTTTTGTGCATCGTATTGCAGTGCACAGGAACTTCCTTGGCTTGCTTGAACTTCCAAGGGAGTATGCGCAAGTCATCAGAAGTTGTTCAAGGCAACTTGTCGTCATCAGAGATACAAGATATGCTTCCATGTTTAAAATTATGAGGAACCTGGAATTGTAATTCTCAGTAATTCCTGTAAACTGATATAAATTGAGGGTGACATTGTACTGCTAATCCTCCGTAAGGTGTTATTGGAATTTTTGTGACAGTTCCTGTAAACTGGTATTTTTTTTTAAAAAAAAAGGAGAAGGTCCAGTGGGGCTCCTGCTCAGCCCCAAATCAAGGCGCCCCCAAAATCCCTCCCTCCCACTTTGTGGGCATTTGGTAGAGCATTTGCGGGCAATGCCACAGTGCTGCCTAGTTTTATTGCATTTGCTATGAAACCCACCCCTCGACTCACACACCGACAGGGGGCACCCTACTTAGACAAGTAGGGGACTTGTTTTACGGCGTACTCCCTCTGTTTTAAATTATAGTTTGTTTGACTTAAATTATAGTTTGTTTGACTTTTTTTACCTTAAGTTTGATAACTCGTCTTATTCAAAAAATTTGTGTCAACATAGTTAAATTTAAGTCATTCTTGAAGAACTTTTGTTAATAAAGCAAGCCGCAACAAAAAAAAAAAGGTAATATTGTGCATAAATTTTTGAATAAGACGAGTGGTCAAACTCAAACGAACTATAATTTGAAACGGATTTAGTACTATTGAAGTTGCTTTTTTCAACCCTTCTATGTACATAAAGTTTTGCTATGTGATTTTTTTTAACAAAAATTGTTGATTTTGTCCCTTGACAATTTATATTTTAGCACTTGACCTCTCTTATACGTAATTTCTAGCTCCGTCTTGCTTGTTCCCAAGCAAAGTTGCGTAACTCTTGAATCCAGCAACTGAAGCATATACTGAGGTCTGAGGTGCACAGACTTGGGACTCGGAAGTTGTGTAGGATATTTTTTAGCTTGAGATGTAGAAGAGTCGACCATACAGCCAAAAAAAAAACCAAGGAAAACACACACACACACACACCAAGCTTAAGAACACATTATCAGCTCAGCTCAAGGGGATAATCTCTGTATCTCGCTGTGTTTTTTTTGGCTCCTGCTGCACCCCCCGAGTCTCGTCTCTTCATTTTACTTTCTAGCATCCCTCTCTTTCCAAATCCCAAATCTCCTAGGCAAGTTTCGCCTCTTCATTTTACTTTCTAGCACCCCTCTCTTTCCAAATCTCCTTGGTTAGTATGAAGCTGCTCCATTGGCTGGTGGATGGTAAATTGACAGCGTCCAGAGGCACAAAGGATGCCAACTTGCCAAGTTCATTAGCTGTAGCACAGTCCAAAGTCGGTTTTGGAAGGCTGAGGACATGTTTCTAATCTAATTACAATAGCTGTTGAATTTGAAAGCTTGGATAACAAGTAACAACCCCACAGTTCAAAAGAGGATGAGTGAGAGGTCGTCTTTTAGTCACTGTCAACCGTTCACCCTTTAAAAGAATGTTCAGTCCAAATATGATATGTGACCTCTAACGAGAGTTTTGATGAACACTGCTTTTAGTTGACCACCAGAATAAAAAATACAAAAAATACATCCAAATCACAAAGTAAATGCCTTTAAAGTATGACCGAACTGATTACAGAACCGAGCTTCTAGCAATTAGATACTCCGAACTCATGTAGTTCATCACAGTAAGTGAATAACACTGCTGTGCAGATGACAAACCCGATCAAGTGGTCTTCTTCTTCTTCTTCTTCTTTGACTTAAGCATCACAAGACCCACAAAGACGCTCAGGAATGAAAGGAGAACTACGCCGGCCAGCACTGGTATCAAAATCGCATACTCTTGAGGCAGGAAGTACTTGTGCACAAAGTGATCGCTGTCAACGAATGGCTAGGGTGGGAACAAGAGGAACAAAATAACCATTCAGAAATAAAGTCATAATAGTTCTACTTGAACTGAAACTGAAAAAAGCTTAGAAGTCACTAACCAAAATGATGACCCAGAATGTATAGTATGTAAATATGGATAAGCTTGTCAGAGTCAGTAGAAAACCGACTACCTTATCACCCAGTTCCATTTGTCTGAAAGTAGTAGATGAAAAACCTTATCAGATGAATGATTATCACAATCCAAAGAAGAAAAAAATTGTTCTATGATGGGCTCATAATCTGAACTGCACATATTCTTGAATGCTTGTTCCCTTTGATTTTAAAAGTACGTTCTAGGAGGGGATTCGCTTGCTGTTTCCATAAAAAAAACAATAATCTGAGTTTCAACAAAATTGCCACATAGCCTAAACTGAATGAACTTTTATCAAGAGAGATGAGCCGCCAATCCACTGTTTTACCAATACGCAATGTGCCATGTCATAAAGTGCCTAAATCCACTGTTTTACCAATGTGCAATGTGCCATGTCACAAATGCCAGAGAAACAAACAAGAAAATAACAGTTAAAACAGAAAAATAATAGTTTACTAGCACTCGTATACTGCAATGTGCCATGTCATAAAGTGCCTAAATCCCAAATTTAGGCATTGCACATCTGGATATGCTGCAGTTCCTATTGTACTGCATATCTGTGCAAAGTGATATAAAGATTACAATAGTGATGCCACTACGCCAGATTGCTACAACTGCAAGCATCAAACACAACAACTAGAAATTTCTATTATGACGGAGCAGGAAACAGTACTATCACTGGAAAACCAAACTCCCATATTAGAAAATCCAAGCATTGTTTTACTTTCTGTTTATTTTGTTGTAAAAGAGTATGTTAGCAGCTAACATGATATGATACAGTAATTTCAGGTAAGTAACATAAATTCTCAAATAACAAATTGGAATGGGCATCCTATACAGAAGTTGAAAGCCTAGAGGTCGAGGATGTCAGCAGTTCTAAAAGTAGGAAATCAAACGAGGGAACACTATGTTGATACACTTTTTTGGACTGTTTACTATACCCCACTTACCCAGTATTGAAGACAATTACATCACTTTACACAACTTTATACAGATCCTTAAGCAAAATGTCTGTCCTGGTAGCTGCTCAGTTTTACTATACTGATTTGCAAAAGTGGTTCATGAGCTCAGACTACACACATCTCCCTTCTTTACATGCCTTAAGTACAAAGTGTTGGTTGCTTATTTGTACATAACTGAGTTGGATACTCGAACAGCAAAAAAAACCCTGAGTTGTTTTCTTTTATTCAGTATGGACAGGTATACTACTACAATGAACATTTTATTTTGTTCCAATGACTTAAAAGTAGAACTATAGGAATAACTGAGTGATACCAAGTGCAATTCATCTTGGCTGCACAGCATTTTCTGTTTACATTACTTGCACATGTTATTAGCTTAAAGTTCAGGAGTTGTTTCCCACATATTGAAATAATTTCTAAATTTATTACTCCCTCCAATTTAAATATATGACGTTTAGGACAAGCCTTGTCCTAAACATCATATATTTTAAAGCAGGGGTAGTACATTTTTTTTTCCTTCAACACACAGGAGAGCTGCATGTCATTGAACAAAACCTCAACTCCACTAGGCCTTTCGTACCAGTTTGGCATCACTGCCTCTGCCTGTATCTCTAAAGAAGCAACTTCAAAGGCGCAGTCACTGTGGTGCTTCGAAATGATCCATGCATTGTTGAAATTTGTTACTTTTTCAATGTGAAGATAGTAAAACCATATTCAACATATTCATGGAGTTATCCTACATGGTCCCATCCCTCCTCTCCCACATATTTGCATCCAAATCCACACCAACCTGCATTTTGATATGTAGCTTGTCTGCCAATATCACAATAGCATTCTCTGTTTCTCCCCTTTTCCATAAGCAGTGAAACAACACTCAAGTTATAAAGAAATCAAGAAGTCCAAATGTGAAATTTTGTTTCTGTACCATTTTTTTTAACGTAAAATTTTTGTTTCTGTACCATATCAGCTGCAATACTGCGCTAACAGAACCACTTGTTTTCTAATAATGGTAATGATCATAAGAGAAAACGCAAATGATGAAATCAACATCTTACGTGTAAAATGCACACCTTTCTTTCAGTTCCATCTCAATTTAGCAGTGTAGAGTTTAAACTACAACATTGGAGGCTTTATTCTCAATTCAGAAAAGGGAATCGGCATATACAAAGACATACATCACAGGGGCAGATCTAGTAAACGGAAGGGACATGGGTGGTGTAAACCCGATAATTTTTTGCAAAAAGTTAGAAGTTAGTAGGCATCAAATAGCCATATAGCTTGAGGTTAGAATTTGGGAACTCGATTTCGCACAGCATACAGGGAAGAGAAGGGTGTGGGAATACCTGGCGGGCGCTCTTCGCCGGCCAAGAGATCGGCGAAGGCCTCGGCACCTATCGTAGGGCGGCGGCGGCGGTAGCCCAACTAGGACCCGATCTGGGAAGAGGGAGGCTTGATCTAGGAAGAGGGACCGTTGCGGTGCGAGACAGGTGGCGGCGGCGGCGTACGGATGACAGGTACGCGAGGGAGACGAGAACGAGGGAGGTGGTGGACGGTGCCGAGATGGGAAAAAATGCTACTGCCCTCGGCTCTAAATTACTAGACTTGGCTTTTTAGATATAATTATTTTTCCTATAATGTAAATCTACGCTCATAGCAAAAATTACATAAAGTTAAAGCCACTGATATGACTCCATCCATAAACATTACCTGAGCTATAACATATATATGTTTTTACTCTTGTTATTACAAGTAAAAGTCTAGCTTGGTTTAGCTCGTTTACCAGCTCGAGCCAAACTCGTGAGCTGGCACAAAGAACACCATACAAAATCAACAATTGAACATGGTCAAATTATCAACACGGTTCTAGAGAAGAGTGTAACGAAAAAAGACATCTAAAAGCAGTCGTAGCGTATAGCAAAATATACAAGATCAAAAACAAACAGGGTGCTAGTGGGCATTAAATGCGCCAACGTTCAGCTTTATCTTCATTTCTTGCCCTGTTCGTTTGGCTGATAAGTCATGGCTGAAAGTACTGTTGGCTGATTTGTTGTGAGAGAAAAATAATGTTCGTTGGCTGAAAAAGTACGGCTTATAAGTCAAGCGAACAGGGCGTCTAAAGGTGGAACTTGAGATAGATAAAATATATATTTTTAATCTAAATGCTTCATTTTTACTTCGTAGCAACCTTGCCCACCATTTAACACTTTTAGAATTCTTAGCACCATCCGGAATCACCTTTAGCACCATCACACTACTCCTGCTCTAAGGGTTGAACCTATATACAAAGGGTGTATTTGGTTTACGTTTAACCTACGTTTAAAACCTTGTCTAGGTAACTAAGTCTTGATAGTTGAAGAAGCATGACTCCAACAATGCAAGATACATTTGTTTGGTTTTATTGATTCGCTTAGCCTACACAAGAAATAGTATGCTTGGTTGTCTGGATTGCCTTGCATGAATCACCCAATCTTTTGTCCAAATAAGTTTACCTCTCTCACATTCTATCGAACATGTGCTGAGTGTTTATGCCTCCTCGCCATGGCCATGGCCACGAGTACCTCCGCTGCGTTCGCACTTGGCCCAAGGTTGCTTCTGAACGGGGCCGTCTTTGACTGCATTGACTGCGCCCGCGCTCCGGCCAAGACTACCGTCAAGGAGCTCATGGTACACCTCCAACCGTGATGTTGCGCTCGCCTTCCTCTTTGATGAGGATCTCGTGGCGCACCACCGCTTGTCCAGGCCATGGCCATGCTCGCGATGTGCCACAAGGTGCTGGTCGGGAACATGGTCTAAGCAGCGGCGGGGAGGCTCCATCGACATGCCCATCGGCGTCGTAGAAGCGAGCGCATCCACAGAGCACCTAGGCAGAGACAAGGAAGATACAAAACCGGGTGGCGGAGGAGCTCCAGGAAGTGAGCAGAATCTTAATAATGGAGCCTGAATAGAAGGTTGACCATCCAAGAAAACACACCATAGCGTCCCTCTTGCATTGTTCTCGCTTTGTGTAACCAACACCGGTTTTCACCGGTGGTAAGAACTAGAGGATCAGCCTTCGCGAGGAACTTCACGAGGAAGACAAAACATCTGTTTCTCCTTTTCTTTTTACCTCTTCAAATACTTGCTCTTTTGTTCCTCTGATACTCACTGCCCAATGGGCACATCGTCTATAGATCAAAATCCAACCATAGCATTGGCAGTCCATGTGTTACATAGCACTAAAAATACATGATTTTTGTCCCCCAAACAAAGCTCAAAATACAAGAATCTAAACTTCCATGATAAAAATCAATATGAGATGAACACTGAGTATTACAGTGAATGGCTGATATAGACAGAAGAGGGGTAAGGATTATTAGTCAAGCATTCTCTGTGAACCGCTAAATTAATTTTCTGCAGACGTTGCTTGGTTACCAACAGGGAATGCCGGTAGGGTTGCACTATTTTCTTGGGCCGGAGCATCTGCACTTGCATGCCGCATGAACTCCTCCGAAGACATGTGAGTGCCATGGCAAGCACATACTATCTTTACCTCGTTTCTACCAAACTTATATGTCACACCAGATATGGTTCTGCCATTTGGTCCAGTGCCGACGGTAGAAACCCAGGGAAGATCCGGATATGATCCAGACCCTCCAAATTTGACATTTGGTGCGATGCCTGGCCTTATGGCAGAACCCATAAGAGAGAGTCCTCTATCAGCCTTTTTCTCATCTTCAGCATGAGCAGACGAGGAAGCACCTGCCTCTGCAATTTGCCAAATGAAAAATGAAATGCAAGTCAGCACTGGAAGGTCGATATGATGTCAGTTGGCAAAATATTCAAACATGCATATATAATTTTGGCAGCAAACATAGCCATGCACAAAAGCTCAGAGCTCAAAATGGAATTTCCTTCCACAGTTTATCATTTTGCACACCAGATTACTGGCAGGCAATGCATAAAGAAAAGGCAGTAATCCTCCCCACAAATAGAAATAATGTGAAATTAAAGGGCTTAATGACAGGACCAGTATACATCAATCATATAACAAACAAATGGAGGAACAGCCATGGACTGTTAGGATGGAACCATGGTTTAAATCTTCTCTAACATGTATTGCTAACCAGACACATGTAACATAAAATCAAGTGTTTTAACTCTAGTTTTTGTTAACAAATCTGTTTTTTAGAGGCAGACATCTTTTTTTTTTGTTAGTATTTAGCAACAGCCATAAAAGTATCACAAAAATGGATTTTATTCATTTTCCTGGGAAGGAAACACAGTCACTAACCCTGAGGCTTCTTGCCATCGTCAGCTTGCTTGGTTCCTGTTTGTTCAGCTTTGTCTTTTGCAGTAAAAGAAGACACAGCCTGAGGTGGAGCACCAAATGCCCATGAAGAGCTTGTTTCAAGTGTTGGTAGTTGGACTGCTGGGTAACCAAAAGCAACCTGAGATGCATTACCCATTGTCTGGACAGCTAGTCCATCGTTTGTGGGTGGCTTCAACTGCACAGTACATACCGGGTGAAAATTTGGTGCATTTGTTATGGTAGGAGGTCCAGAAACTTGAGGTGGGACTTGATATGGCACAGCCACTGCATTTGATGCCTGCATCGATAACGGATTCCCAGGTGTCAGCTTTCCAGAGCTGGACTCACTTCCTGAGAAACTTGGTTGCCTCTTTCCTTGAAAACCAACTGCAGCATCATCGGCGGATCTTTTCCTATCAGATCCCTTGTTAACAACAGAGCCCTTAGCACTGTCTTCACGCTGTGCAACCAACCAAGAATTTGAGCCTTCTGCTTCTGACTCTACAACGTCCTCATTTTCACCAGTTGAACCATCATCCGTACTAATTGAGATAGGTGCATTTTTTACACCTCCATCAGAGCTCTTACTGAATGCATCAGGCTGGTCACTAGCTGCCTGATGCTTCTTTTGAAAGTTTATGTCTTCAGAAAGTAACTTGCGGTTACTCGAGACTGGCTTCTGCTCCTCAGAATTATTTCCACTGTTATTTGGCATCCTTCCATCCTGATAACTGGAAAGCTGGGGTTGATGGCTCACTGGTTCAACAGATCCATCTGCCACTGGACCAGAGGAACTCCCTGGTTGTCCCCAGAAGTTCCCGAATTGTGGTGCTACAGGGCTGTGCCTCTGTTTACTATTCTGTTCTTGGTTTTCAGCGCTCTTTTGATAAAATTTCCCAAAAGGAGCATCAGGAGTTTGTGAGCCACCTTTGCTACTGCTTTCTTCCACTTGGGGTTCTGCTTTTGGTTCTAGAGGTGCACCTCTAGCCTTGGCCTTCCCTGATGACCCGCCCAAAGATAGGCCCAAACTAAGCTCAAGCCCATTATCATCATCCATTTCCAGTTCTTGGTAATTGCAATGATATATATGCGTAGTTACGGACTATTTCTTCATACATACGGAGGAAGAAATAGAGAGCATTGTATAATTCTTGCCATCCAAACCGTAACCCCTGCAATAAACACCTTTTGTAAGAGATAATAAGGCATTTTTATGGTAACCCGATAGCTTATGGCAGATGGAAACATATAAGAATAATTTAACAAAGCAATTCATCACATGCATAGACACTAACTAACTAAAATTTAGTTTCATAAAAAAAAACTAACTAAAATTTAGTCAGCATTCATATATGTTGCACGATTTTCACAGGAAATCATGGCCAGATATTGGGTATCCTCTTGAGCCTGGGCACACCCAGACTTTGCAAATATTAGTGGAGATCAGCTCTTTAAGTGGCCTAATTTATGTATGGCATAATACTCCATACATTAGAGAACCTCCAAGAGTTTTTCTTAGACTCACTCTCTAAATCATCTTTTGGAGAGCCATCTGAATAAAAATCGGTATCTGTATCTTTGGCTAGCGAGAAATCAAAAAAAAAAGGATGGCAATATTTGGAGATCTAATTAAAGAAGCTATTGGAGGGCATTATTTTCACCAAAATCTCTAGGAACCATATAAAGAGGCTCTTGGAGTTGCTCTTAGAGCACACCCAATAGAACACTGTGGCTAGATATCCTAGCGGACAGAGACATGGGTGTATACATGTACACCCGAAAGTTTTTGTCAGAAAATCGAAGTTATTAGTAGGTATACGCTAGTAATTAGACCAGATCCGAATACAAATAGTCAAATAGCTCACGTTAGGGTTTGGGTGCTCGGTTTCCTACAGCAGGAACGGAAGAGAAGGGGCGGGCATACCTGTCGGGTGCCCCTCGCCGACGAAGGGCCCGGCGAAGAACAAGCGAAGGGCACGAAGACCTGCGCACCTGGCGTAAGGCGGCGGCGGCGGTCTGCCGTCCAGTCGTCTCGTCGCTCCCAAGAGAGAGATCGAGCACACGGGTTGAACGGGACGAAGAGAGAGAGGATGGAGACGGGTGAACTGTCGGGAGAACGAGTCGCTCTAACACCGAAGACTACGGCAGGGGGACGTCCCTACTCCCGATGCCATTCGTTGGGCATCCGACGGCACGCAGCGAATAAGCACGGAAGCGTACGCCGCGCCGGACGCCGGCCCATATACGCGATCTGGCCCATGGTCTAGAACCGCAAAACAGAAGGGAGCCAAAAACAGTGCTCAAAAAAAAGAGAAGGGAGGCAAAAATATTCTCAAAAAAAAAAAGAAAAGAAAACAGAAGACAAAACAAAAAGGGAAACAGAAGCGAATAAGCACACCAATGCTACTGGAATGCTCATTTGCAACATATCAAAAGAAAGATAAATTGAGTTTAAAAAATGAAAGCTAAATTATATATGCAGAACTAGAGTTCTACTTCCATCATCATGCTTGCAAAATGGCAACAAAAAACTAAAAATTTGTCCACCTAGCACCAGATAACTGATTCGTCGCAAAAGAAAGCTTAACATGTATTATATCCACTTGGGAGTAGATCACTTATACATGGGCATGGCATACAGTCCTCCCTACTTCCAGTCAGAAGGTCATATGTCATGGTATCTGTAAGTTAATAAAGAAGTTTTTCAAAGAAATATCATCTCCAGATTTGTAAAGTACCTACATGAGCAGTTTACCACCAACATTTGTGTGAAGCTAACTTGTGTATGTGCCTATGCACTGCCTGAACTAGAGGGTTCAGAAAATAATGAACATAATCCCTCTTATGATTCGTTCTCTTTTTTTCAAAGCTTGTGCTTCTTATCCAGCCAAGCTCTTTTTTTTTATTTTAAAATTTTTGTTTGGACGTCCTTTTTCTTTAGGCTAGCTTTAGTGAGCAACTTCTCATTCCTGGTGCCAGTGAGGCGAAGCACGCCCTATATTGAGACGAGTCGGGACCAAGCACGCCAACATTTGTGTGAAGCTAACTTGTGTATGTGCCTATGCACTGCCTGAACTAGAGGGTTCAGAAAATAATGAACATAATCCCTCTTATGATTCATTCTCTTTTTTTCAAAGCTTGTGCTTCTTATCCAGCCAAGCTCTTTTTTTTATTTTAAAATTTTTGTTTGGACGTCCTTTTTCTTTAGGCTAGCTTTAGTGAGCAACTTCTCATTCCTGGCGCCAGTGAGGCGAAGCACGCCCTATATTGAGACGAGTCGGGACCAAGCACGCCCTATATCAAAGAAGCTCACAAAGGAAATGAGGCATTGGAAGTCTAAACATATTTGATGTTTGAAATCATTAACTCTTCATTAAATTTGTGGTGTAACTAAGAGTTTATTTGGATCCACTAGTACTAGCAATTAGCGCTAATTATTAGCAAAAGCCTGTTTAATATGCTGGCACCTATTTAGCACCTCCAAACCCGTTAGCGGAACTAATAGTTACCAACTTCCTAGCTAATAGTTGGTGTCGGGTTCATAAAACCCGAGGTCCTCAATGGACCCGCTTCCCTGTAAAACCCAGCCCAGTAGAGGGCGGCGACAGCACATGCCTAGGCCGGCTCAGATATATAATGATAGGCCGAGACAACGATCCGGTCCCTGACCGGAAGGCTTAGCCAAGGTGGGACCGCAGTCCGACTCCGACCCTCTTCTCCGACCGAGGATACGCCAGACCTCTGCTCGTTGCTCTTTCCCGATCGACACGGTCGGGACCGACCGAAAACGACGTGGACGCCCGCCGCCAGGGGCCAGGGGAGAAAGCGGAAGCAGATAAGGTAAGGCGCCAAGTCTTCGGTGTGGGCCGGAGAATTGTAAGCCAAGCAGACCTACAGGATGATGCCATCGGGCATGTCGCTCAAGTCAAACGCGACGCTGAGTATATAAATGAGATTGTATGCTGCTTGCCATACCTGCATTTAACATGGTAGAGCCGCCGGATGTGTCGAACATAAGCAGATTGTGGGCGATGATGCCATCCTGCATCTGGATGGTGTGGGCAACAAGACTAGGCAGCGCACGTATACACTCTCTCTTTTTCTTTGACTTGTAAGGTCATCCCCTTTAACTATAAAAGAGGATGAGCTCTCTCCTAAAAGCCCCCCCCAAGACTGGTCGACTCGACAGCTCAATAGCTCTAGGACTCGACAGCTACACAGTCTATACGCTCTCAACAGCTGATAAGCTCGGACACACAGAGCATACGTTCTAATACTTAGCGCATGTTTGAGCATCCGTCACTCTGTTCCACTTGGTTCAGAGTCCGACCGGGCCTCTAACACCCCCTTCTCATTCCTTACTCGTTTGTAACCCCACAGCAAACTTCGAGCACCTAGGCTCAGGAATAAAGTCACCGACCGACCTCAACTGGATGTAGGGCCTGTTGCCTAAACCAGTATAAATCCTGTGTCATTGAGTGCTAGGCTACATCCGATCATAACGCACGGCAAAACTACAAATATTTACTTGTTGGTCACTTTTTGCATCGACAATTGGCGCCGTCCATGGGGAGGACACCGTGCGTTCACGCCTTTGGTCATCGGATGGCCCACCTTTCCACCATCTTTGGCATGGCGGGCTCGAGCGATATGATTCTCTTTGGCTCGCTGGAGTTTCCCAGGCTACCACTTGCTGGGATGTGGGCTCCTCCCGTCTTCGTGCCACTCCAGACCTTCCTCTTCGGGAGTCTAGACTTTGTTGTCGACCAGCTCGGCGTACTTCACCTCCGCGAAGAGGCGCTTGTCCCGGTGCCCACTGGAGGAGGAGCGCCCTCCACCGACTACAATGTGCCACTCGACGACCTCAACGTCGAGACACCCGCGCTTCGCCTCGAGCCTATGCTGGGCTCAAACCCCACGGTGAGTGATGTAAATATTGTTCTTTACTCACTATTTAACACCTTTCGCTGACTTTTCGGAGGGTCCCCGTTGTCCCCACCGTGACCACTATGCGATCGGTTCCCCTACGGCTTCGCGTCCCCCGTGGACGCGTGCGCGGGGGGACTTCGAAGGATGCTGACGCCACTCCCTCTCACATACGAGTTCATGGGGATGGCGGGCTATGCTTCCGCCTCCTTCCACGACCTCATCGATGATGAGATCGAAAGCGATGGCTCCAGCATTGGTGACGTCATGGCACCTGGCCACCCTCTGTCCCGGGACTGAGCCATGGCGGACGCCCTGGGACAGCCACTGGAGGTAGTGGAGTCTCTATAGACTCACACCCCTTCGGACCCCCATGCACAGGCCCTGGCGCGTGCATAGCAGCACGACGAGGAGTTATGGCAAAAGGCGGCAGAGCCAGCCGTCGCCTGCGCCGGAGCGCCCGGCGCATCACGCTGCGCCACATGCGCGTAACCTGGTGAGCTTCGCTCGGGGTCGTGACCGTTAGGTCCAGCGTAACATACTGGACGAAGAGGATGACCCCCTCAGTTTGCTCGGGCTGGCCAGAGCATCGCTGCTGCGGCGAAGCTTCTATGCGGCCTCCTCGAGCCTGCCGACCACCAGGAACAGGCAATCCACTGGAACCTCCAGGTCCTGGTGGAGACCGCCGCCGTTTAGTAGGCGGAAAGCTCCACGTCGCGACACCGGCTTGCGTCCTCTTGCCTAATCGGGGGACTGGGGCCGCACCAGTCGAATCACTCCGTCCACTCACCACAACAGTTGCCAGGCGTGGAGCAGGAAGCCACGGCTGCACTGCAGCCTAACCCGGCGCCCGCTCCACACCAACCACCTATTCGCGAACGGCTCGGGCCGAACCGTGACGCTTGCAGCATCATCAACAATCGATGCCACGCCCAGCACGGTGATAACGCCCATCGAATGGTGGCGAGAGCAGGCGGCACGGGCCCCGGCCTGACCATCGAGGAGTGCGAGGACACGCACCCCTGGCATGGTGGCCGACCAAACAACCGGAGCCCCAGCCTGGACGGCCCGGGGCCATGGGCCTTTGGTCGTCGCATCCAAAAAGCGCCGTTCCCACATCGCTTCCGACCA